GTAATAATAAAAGATATTCCGGCGATCCTTGAGTATATTCCGATCCTAAGAGGACCGAATAAAAGAGAGGACCGCCGGTTTGAGTTCTTATTCTGTGAGCAGTACTTCCATTCTTATTAATTACTATTCTCATATTATCTTTCAATATTATAAGGCCCGGATACCTATATTTGGACCTGGACCGATCTACAGTCCTTGGGAAAATATTGGGTATCCATCAATCAGGATTAATACTTTTTCACCGAGTAATGCTAGAATCACAAACAAACAGTTCACAAAATTTACACACTTGCTTTTTTAACATTTTTTTAGAAATAATGTGCACTCAAATAATAACAGATACTTCGTATTTTAATTTAAAATTCACAAAAGACAAGTTTGTGACGTATGTGAAGTTGTGATGGTTTGTGACTCTAACATTTTTCTTTTTCACCAGCTCTTCCGTTAAATATTTTGCTAATTGTTACTACAAATAGTATAATTTCGATGGTAAAAAAAATAAAGTTGAAAACAAAAATATACTCCAGGCAATATTTTTTTTCCATTAAAAGACTTTTATACGGAGAATTTTTTACTCTTCAATAAATTTTTATTCAATAAAACATAATTATTATAATATTATTAAATTTAAAATAATATAACAATAGCTGTCAAAAAAGTAATTTAATAATATTGTATTATTTTAATAGAATTAATAGAAAAAATAAAAAGACCATACTATTGTAGTACTTTAAACTCTAATTTCTTTGTGATCTTTGAGTCCATACTCATTTTATGGACTTTATTACATTGACGCTATGAAAGTATTGGACCTTTTCCAAAAATGAAAGTAGTACCTGTAGTCCAACATCCCACCCCAACCCCCCTATATTGTTGATAAGAAATTACTCTAATACAAGTAAAATATAAAGAAAATATCAAAATAGAAGTTTCATGTTTTTATCCTCAAAATAGGAGTTTGCACGGTGGTAATGTGGCACTGTATATGGATAATTCACAATACTTTTTGGTAATGTACATGGTCATGATTAGACCTGGCAATCGGGTCAATCGGTTCGGGTCTTTTCGGTTCAGGTCTCTTTCGGATATATGTTATAATCGGTTCAGGTCGGTTCGGTTCGGGTCAGTTCGATGCCGGGTTTATTTCGGTTTGATTGGTTTTCGGTTTCGGTTCGGGTTTGTATCGGTTCGGGTTTGTATCGGTTCGGGTTTATATCGGTTCGGGTTTATATCGGTTCGGGTTTGTATCAATTCGGGTTGTATATATTTGGGTTTATATAGATTTGAGTTTATATCGGTTTAAATTTATATTAGTTCAAATATAATGTAAACACATACATACTAATAAATGAATAAATCACATAATAAATTTAGTTAATTTAGTTAACTATAATTTTATATACTTTCTATAAAAATACAAAAGTATTTTAACTTAAGTTATAAAATGCAAAGTAAAAGATTTGTACATGAAAGTAGTTACATGGTTTGCACCCATAATTTAAATATGTTTTTTAGAAACACATCAACATATGTAAAAATCTATAGGTAATTCATTTTCTCCAAATTCATTTGATAAATGAAATATTAATGAATTTGATCAATTTCGGGTCTAATCGGGTTCGGGTCTAATCGGTTCCGGGTTTAACCGGGTTCGGGTTTAATCGGTTCGGGTTTAATCGGTTCGGGTTTAATCGGATTCGGGTCTGAATACATTCGGTTCGGGTTTGGTTCGGTTCGGATCATTTCGGGTGTTTGGTTCTATTTCGGTTCTTCAGTTTTCGGGTCAAATCGGGTTCGGTTCCGGATTATTCGGTTCGGGTTATCGGGTCCGGATCAGTTTTGCCAGGTCTAGTCATGATTGACATTGTAAATATATAAATTTAAATCGTAGTTCAAACGGGAAGATAAACTAGGGACAAAGGGCGTAATACTTTCAATACAACTTTTGTAGTTGTTTTTTCTGGAGCTGCGTGGGCAAAGTGGAAGTTGGCGTTTGAATGTAATATCCATTCATGATATCAGTATTTATATAAACTAAAATATACTTTATTTTTTATGAATATATTTGTATCAAGGACTCAAGATGTAACAAATTCTATTAACAAAGTTCGTCTTTTTGAAAGTTATTATTTAATTTAACGGTCAATTAAAGGAAGATCTTTGGTGGATGTGTTCTCAAGTACTTAGAACCACCAAGAGTATTAGTTGTGGGTTGGACTAAACGTGGAGAAAACCAATTAAAATGGACTTTTTATGAAATTTATTCTTTTTTCTACTTACACGATTTTGAAATTTTTTTTTGTTGTTGAGTGATATTGATTCTATTACAATAATACAATGTAGTATCTGTTAATAAATATTCTATGAACCTGTTGAATTGCATAGAGTCAACACTTCGAGTGGAGTTCGAAGCTTGGTAACTTCCCATCTAGATCCCTTGGGGGTGGTCCTACTACTCAACCAAGGGGAGAGCTACAAAATTAAGTTCACACACTATTATTGAAAAAATAAAATCGTATGATTAAATTGATTAAAAAACATCAAGATATATGTAAAGAAGCTATAAGGATCAATTGACATTGAAATGCTAGGTTAGGGGATAGGAATCCGCAAATTTTCAAACATAATAGTGTATGTGTCCAAATTGAAATGGTGTCACGATGTTGTCATATGAGAATGGTGTAACTTTGCACTCCCTCTTTTTAAACTTGAGTGTTTATAGATATATTGGTTTGTGGAATGGATGAATAGGTGACAAAACAAGATTTGGCTGATACATATCAGCCACCATTCCAGAGCTGCATTCAAAAAGCCAGAGCCAGCGGAATCATGTGTGCTTATAACAGCGTCAATGGCATCCCCAGCTGTGCTAGTTACGATCTCCTCACCAAAACTGCTCGCGGCCAATGGGGTTTTCGTGGGTAAGAAATATATATATATAGAAATCAACCCTTTTTTTTATATACAAAATTTGATCCCCCCCCCCTATTGTTTCTTGTTAGAATGATCCTAAATTCTATCATTTCTCATTTTAATGATTCATTTTGGCACATTTTAGGTACATTACCTCAGATTGTGATGCAGTTGGAAATGTTTTTCACGACCATAAGTATACAAAAACACCAGAAGACACTGTTGCAGATGTACTCAATGCCGGTACAGTTGCATTCTTCACTAGTTCAACTATGTAATAAGATATTGAGCTGAGCTAACTAATTGATTAAATCAAATTCTTTAGTGTGATTTCATCCCTAAGTGCCATATGCTTTCTTTCTAAATAAAGTACTTACCTTTGTTAATGGGGACTAAAACGCGCAGGGATGGATGTCAACTGTGGTTCATTTTTGGGGAACTATACAAAATCAGCCGTTATGCAGAAAAAAGTGTTAGAGTCACAAATAGACAGAGCTCTACACAACCTCTTCAGCATTCGTATGAGACTGGGACTGTTTGATGGGAGCCCAAATCACTTACCTTATGGTAACATTCTTGGGAATGAAGTTTGCAGTCAAGAACACCAAAATGTAGCTCTAGAAGCTGCAAGAAAGGGCATTGTCTTGCTGAAGAACCAGGCCAAGCTACTTCCTCTTTCAAAAGCCAAAACAATGTCCCTCGCCGTTATAGGACCTAATGGGAACAACGCGAATGTCCTTTTAGGGAATTACTATGGCCCTCCGTGCAAATCCGTTGAAATCTACAAGGCCTTGCAGGGCTATGTGAAAAACAGTGTGTTTCAAGAAGGCTGTGTTGGAATTGAGTGTGCCTCTGCTGCAGTTGATGAAGCTGTGAAGTTGGCTGGAAACTCTGATCATGTAGTTCTGGTCATGGGATTGAATCAGGGGCAAGAAAGGGAAGAAAAAGACCGCGTCCAGTTGGTGCTTCCCGGGGCACAAGAAGCTCTCATTACAGCTGTTGCTAAAGCGGCAAAGAGGCCCGTGATACTGGTGTTGCTTTGTGGTGGGCCCGTTGATATTTCTTTCGCGAATTTTGACCCTAAAATAGGCAGCATTTTGTGGGCAGGCTATCCTGGCGAAGCAGGAGGCCTTGCCCTCGCAGAAATTATATTCGGCGATTACAATCCTGGTAAAGACATTATAATTTTTTCCCCATATAACACTTTTTCTGTCAGAAGATTATTGAGTTTTTGGTTGAGTTGGTTTCGTGATTCTCCTCTTTTTCTTAAAAAAAATGAAAATTTGATTACTTGCAGGAGGGAAATTGCCGGTCACATGGTACCCGAAAGACTACACAAAAGTTCCAATGACAGACATGAGGATGAGGGCCAATAAAGCCACAGGGTACCCCGGGCGAACGTATAGGTTCTACAAGGGTCCCACAGTCTTCAACTTCGGGTATGGTCTAAGCTACTCCCCCTATGCTTACAAGTTCGCGCCAACCACAAAAACCACAGTGAACTTGAACCAGATGTCGCGGCTCAAGAGAGCCGCGACACCTGAGTATGTGCCATACACATCAGTAGATGAGATTGGCGAAGAGATGTGCGAAAAGGCAAAATTCTCGGCAACCATTCGGGTCGATAACAATGGGGAAATGGATGGAACTCACCCGGTGCTGCTCTTTGTGAAGCCGGGCAACGAGAGAGAGGGAAGCGCAGCAAAAGAGTTGATCGGATTTCAGAGTGTGAGCTTGAAAGCCGGCGAAGGAGTAGAGGTTGAGTTTGATGTCAGCCCTTGTGAGCATCTTAGCAGTGCCAATGAGGAGGGGTTGATGGTGGTTGAAGAGGGGTCTAAGTATTTGGTTGTTGGCTACAGAGAACATATTATCAATATAGTGATTTGAATCCTTCTTGGTCAAATCGTTGGGAATGATTTTTATTTTTTGTTTGCTTTGTCTTCTTCACTTGTGCTGAACACACCAACATTTCTTTCTTTTTCTTCTTCTTTTTGAATACAAGAACAAGTTGAAAATTGCTTCTGTTTATTTGTTTATTTACCAGAAACAATAGGGGAAAAAGGTGTTTCTTGATCCTTGAAGAAATACTTCAACCTAGGTGTTTCACTTTGCAGAGGGAGTTAGGTGGTCAATAAGAGAAGTACCACCCTCCCACTACATGCTTCACATTGAATCTTTCTCCAGTCTTACTCTCTTGCTGTCCGATGGCGGCGGAACCCAGTTTTTTAAGTCCCAAATTTTCCATGCCTGTGGCCACAAATGGTGCCCTACGATGAGTTTCACACTCAATACAAATAATCCAAACAGCCAATTAAATAATGTGTGTGTGTGTGTGTGTTTTTTTTTGTGTACAGGACATTTTCTGTGTACCCAAATGGGGGCGTGTACAGGGGCAGCAAGGGTAACACCTCTGTGTTCTTGAGCATTGAGGACACAGATGCCCTCCCTCTTGGCTGGGAGGTCTATGCCGATTTGAAGTTCTTTCTCTTTGACCAGCGCCGCGACAAATACTTGGTTTTTCAAGACAACAAAGTGAACCGGTTCCACGTGTGAGTGGGGCATTCCCAACTTGGTCTCTCGGAGGGCTTTCAAGGATCCTGTGAATGGGTTTCTTGTGGGGGACAAGTGCTTGTTCGGCGTGGAAGTTTTCGTGCTCAAGTCCGTGTTTGGAGGAGAGCACTTGAGCCCATCTCTCAGGCTTGACAAAACCTTCACTTGGAGGCTATCATGCAGCGCCTTTTATTTCTAGACTTATGCGTTCGAATATATGAAATTATTTCCTTAGTCTACAACCAAAGGTTGAGCTTTTTTTGTTTTGTGATGCGATATCAGAGCCTTGTTGACTAAGTTGTTGACTAAGTTATGAGTTCTTGAAATATTTTTCCTGGCAATTTTAATTTATTGAATCAGGGTGGTGGAACTCTCCACTGAAGAGGAGTATCTTGCTCTGCGTTTGAAACTTGTCGGCTCTAAAGATGGCAGTACTGCACCCAGGCTGCTTGTCAATTTCATGATGTCCATACGAAACCAGCTGTCCGGAAAAGATAAGACTGCCAAAGGTATGTGCAAAATCAAAATTTAAGCGTTTTTGCGCAGCCAATTCCGTACTTTGATCAGGTCTACTAATTATGTGATTAGGTAATACTTAAATATAACTTGTTTGATCATTTGATCAATTTGTAGATTGTGGATGGGTCACGGAAAAATCTGCGTGGGGCTGGTCTAAGTTCATACCTCTAATTGATCTGCAAGATCCGTGCAAGGGATTTCTGGTTGACAATTGCATCATAATTGAAGCAAACACTAGGAATGTGTCAATAGTCCACAGCTAGTTCCTGCAACTGGCTACTAGGAATGTGTCATTTGATCTGCTGATTTTTGGTATATACAACTCCAAGACTGGGGTTTTGGTGTCTTTTGACATTGGTGTTTTTTTTTCCTTGACGAGTTGTTTGTGATGTTTTTGTTTTAGGTCTTGGCATTCCCATTTTTCATGTTGTTTTTTTGGGTATAGATAATACTCCCTCCTGTTCTATAATGTCATTTTGGCAGTGAGTATTATGATAGGCACCAGCTTCAATACCAAACCAAACAAGTCAATCTCATCACTGAACTCCATTTACTTAACAAGTCAATCTCACTTCAATATATAGCCACTTTTGGATGAATTTAGAAAAACCCTAAATTGGATTGGAAACATAAAATATTACACATCTCTATAACACTATAGAGAAAACTATAATAAAGTTGCAACGTTTTTGTATTGCATTTAAAAAAAATACCAAAATTAGCTATGCAATGGACTACTACCTGAAAAAAATACGTCTATATTATGACGACTGTATAAGAGAAAACAATATAATCTTAATTAAAATTACTCTTTTATTTTGTGACGTAGCCACGTAGGTAATAGAAATGATTTTGAATGTACCTCATAAAACCATACTACTTGGTATCTTTAACCTATGAATGTAAGACCTCTATTGCGGCTTTTTAAGATTTTATCATGTGAATATGAATGCTCGAATCATTGTTCCTGCTAAGTGCTAGATGTTGGGTTTAGGGTGAGTGTTAGGAAAGTAAGAATCATTAATTTTACGAATAAAACACTGTATGTACCTTAATCAAGTTGTTGTACAATTATATTTTTGTTGTGGTAAGTTAATTCTTCCCATTCATTGCAAGAAACTAACGGAAGTTAGTGTATTTCACAAAATATTGTCATTCTTTTTTATCTTTCTAAAAAAATTCTTAAATAATTTATACTCACTCCACACTATAAAATACTTTATCTTTCATTTTTTTTCTCTTTAACCAAAACATTTAAACTTGCTATTCAAAAAATTGCTATTACTTCTATTTTTTATCTATCTAATAAGTACTTTTTTTTGAATAATTTATACGTCATATCTTACTTTTATAAATCGAATGGAAGGTTAAATATAATCTATCACTTATTTTAACATTTCAAAATATGGAGTTGTTTTCTAGAATCAAAGAGATTAGCGTTTCTACCCATTTATGAAAAATTGAAATTTGATGGTCCTCCCGTTCCGGAAGAGTAATTTGAACTGAAAATCTGGAGCTCATTCCTAGCGGAATTGAATGTTCTTTCTCCTCAGCATATATCATTATATCTCCACCTCTGCGTCTACAACTCGACCATTCCCCCCTTAGAGCCCTTCTCTTTGCCGGTACAATTTCAGTTCATTTGCCTCTCTCGTGGGTTTGTCCCTTCGTTTTTGATAAATTCTTGTACAATCAGCTGCTTGAATTGATGGGCTTAGTTTTGATTTTAAACCCCGTTATTTGATTCTTAAAATGGGGTTTTCAATTTTTGAAATTAAGGTAAATGCACGTTTGATAAATTTCCCAGCTTTGTGCTACAATTTTAGTTTCCTAGCGTCTTATATTCGAATTTTTTTTCCAACAATCCTTGCTGCAGTTGAGCGGCACTTGAATAATTTAACTCCAAGAACTAAGTTTCTTTAATTATACCTTGTTTCTGGCAAATTATGAAGTTTTCTGTTTTAATGGGAAGGAAAATTTCCAATCTGCAGATCATTCTATTATAGCTTACCCTCTCTGCTATTTGTTCTTCCATATTATTTTTGTAGGTCTGTGGATCTTGTGTGTATAATTCAAAGTAGTATCTCTTACACTTACGAGTGATGACCCTGCTAAGCAGATTTTTTTATAGAAAGCCCCCAGATGGCTTGATTGAACTTGATGACAGAGTATATGGTAAATCAATCTTAAAGTTAGAGTTCTATTTTTTTTTCCTTCCTTTTGTCGACTATGTGTCTGCAGTCTTAGATTCTATGGAGTGCTAATTGAATTGATTCCATGATGCTGTGTTTCTGCAGTCTTAGATTCTTGCTTTTCCACTGAAGCAGTGCCTGAGGAAACTTATCAGCTCTATTTGCACAGTGTCATTACTGATCTACACGAAGAGTTCCTTGAATCATCTTTTCTTGCATTTAATTTCAGAGAAGGTGGGGAAAAAAGTCAGTTTGCTGATATTTTGTGCAAATATGATGTCACCGTTATGGATTACCCAAAGCAGTACGAAGGTTGCCCTGTGTTGCCATTGTCTTTGCTTAATAACTTTCTCCGTGTCTGCGAGAGTTGGCTTTCTCTTTTGAATCACCAGAATGTCATTTTATTTCATTGTGATAGAGGAGGTTGGCCTGTTTTGGCATTTGTTTTGGCTAGTTTCATGATTTTCAAGAAGTTGCATAGTGGAGAGAGGAAAACTCTTGAAATGGTTTACCGAGAGGCCCCTAAAGGGTTATTGCAGCTGTTGTCCCCACTGAACCCATTTCCATCTCAGCTTCGCTACTTGCAATATCTTTCCAGAAGAAATATCTCCCCAGAGTGGCCCCCTCCTGAGCGGGCTCTTTCTTTGGACTGTATCATTCTCAGAGCCATTCCTAAATTTGATAGGCAGAAAGGGTGTAGGCCTATGATTCGTATTTTTGGTAGAAATCTTCTGAGTAAGGATGGGCTCTCAACTCAGATGCTATACTCTATGTCCAAGAAAGGAAAAGGTCTTAAACATTACCGGCAGGTACACATTGCTTTAATAGAAGTGCATTCTCCATTCATCTTTGTATTTTCAGGGGATCCGAATACTGAATGGTGTGTTATATTGTTTCTCTTCAGAAGGACAGTGATGTGATTAAGATTGATATTCAGTGTTTAGTGCAAGGAGATGTTGTTTTGGAGTGTGTCCATTTAGAAACAGAACCAGAAAGAGAAGTGATGATGTTCCGTGTGATGTTCAATACAGCTTTTATTCGATCCAATATTTTGATGTTAAGCATTGATAACTTGGATATTCTTTGGGATTCAAAGGGGCGCTACCCGAAAGGTTTTCGAGCTGAGGTGACTTAATGTGATTGTTGTTAACTTCTTGCTAATTGAGTATATTGATTAGTTAGTTAACTGTCTCAACTCAATACCATCTCATGACATATTCCATGCATGTCGAAATAACCTATGATGATGGTGGTTTTCGAGTTATCTTTCATTACTCTGAAATGAAGAGCATCTGACGATAATCATTGCCAATATGTTTTTTTTCATGTGTTTATAGTGTTAATTAATATTATAAATTAATTATGTGCCACTATAAGTTTAATGCCACTTTTAGTGCCACTTAAGAAAACCCATGTTCATCAACTGCATGTCGCAGAGGCAATGGATGTGTGGGCAGACAAGGTTGGATATGATTCAGAACGAGGTTATACAGGGATGGGTGGGAGTGGCATCTCGGGAGGATATGTTGAGGGAAGCTAGGTTGAAGTGGTTTGGGCACGTGAAGCGCTGAAGTACTCCTTGATGCTGAGGTGTGAGATGCTTACGGTAGTGGACGGGGGTTGTGGAAGAGTTAGACCTAGGAAGATATGGAAAGAGGCGATAGGACTTAGTTTTCCGGGCCTTACCGAGTATATGACCTTAGGTAGGAGCATTCAGAGATCTAGGATTAGGGTAGTTGGGTAGCCGTTTGGGCTTAGGTCATAGTTTTTGCTCTTGTCGTGTTTGTGCTTTCTTTGCTTGGTTCTTTTCTCTCTCTTTGTGCTTTCCTTAACCTTTAGTTTGCTCTTTGCTTATTGTGTTCATACTTTGTCTACATTCTGTGTTGCTCGAGCTGGGGTCTCTTAGAAACAACTTCTCTACTTTCCAGTAGGGTAAGGTCTATGCCCCCCCTACACCCTTCTTTCATGGGATTCTACTGGGTTGTTGTATATGTTTAATGCAACCAACCCCAACTAGCTGGGATTAAGGTGCCGATATATTTACATGCACAGGTTTTGTTTGGAGATGTGGAGAACATCCCTCCTCCAAGAGCACCAACTGCAGTTTTCAATGGGGAGGAGAAAGGAGGACTTCCTATTGAAACTTTTTCAATGGTCCAAGAACTTTTTGGTGGAAGTGAATGGGCTGATTCTGGCGATGATGCTGCTTTATGGTTTCTTAAACAGCTCTCAATGTTGAATGACTTGAAAGATTTATCTGTGCTGCAAAACAGGATGAGTGAGTATTCATCATCACCTCTGGATTCGGAGGAAGAAACCAACGCTCCCAGTATTGCTGATAGCTTGGATTTTCTTGATGCTGAGAAGGCTAGTAATAATCTTGCTAATACAAATTCACAGGATGTGAATTTCTTTGATGATCATCTGTCTGAAGATTTTGCTTCTGATACAACCTCTATTGCGAAACCTTCTGCTGAAATCCCTTGCTCTGTTCTGGGAAACAGAAGGCAATTTGAGTTGAGTGTGGGTCCCGATCATTCAAAAACAGGACAAGATCATGATAGACAAGCTTGTTCTTTGTCCTTTAGTTCATCACCACCAGTACCTCTTTCTACCGTTACTAATATAATAAGTTCTAAATCTTTGGTACCACCACCACCACCTCCGCCTCCACCTCTTTTTAGTTTTCCTAGTAAAAAAGGCTCAGTGCCTCCACCACCGCCACCTTTTGTCCATTGTAGTAGAGAGTATCCACTTTCTATGCCACCATCAGTACCGCCGCCACCACCACCCCCGCCTCTATCTCCACCTTTTTATAGCTCTAATGAAATATCTGCACCCTTACCTATACCTTCATCTATAAATTCTTCTAAAGAACATCCACGGCTTCCATCTTCTTTCTTTTCAAACACTGTAGATAGCAAGGGTATTTTATCAGCTGTACCACCACCACCTCTCACATCCCCTGATTTATCTTCTAATTGTCACCCTCCAGCTCCCCCTCCGCGAACTTCTAAGGTTGTTTTACCCCCTCCCCCACCACCACCACCACCTCCTCCCATTTCTTCTATACAGCCTCCGTCTCTTCCTGCCTCGAAGGGGCGGCCACTCCCTCCTCCTCCCCCTCCTCCT